AAGGGAGGGGAAGGGGAATCCCCTGGCAGAGGGCCCATCCACAGAGCTCCCCTTTGTGGTTACTATGGAAACAAGCATAATAGGAACAAAACATAAGCATGTTGCTTGGCAACCTAGGAGCCTAAGGTTCATCACACACACACACATACATACTCATAACTCCTCCATTTCAGGGAATCCCCCCAGGGTAGGAGCGTCATTTCTGGAAGCTGGGTTATCCCAGTGATGAGTCCTGCACTCACGTAGCTTTGCCTGTGAGTGGAGGCCTTAGGTGTGGACACCTCTGAAGGGTGATGCTGTGCCAGCTTTACAGCTGACCTGAACCCAGGCCAGTGTTGACAGGAGTCTGAAACCTTGCTGAAAACACAGGTTTCCTTGACAGTGTTAGAACAGAGGGAACTCTTCTTTCTTTCTTTTTCTTTTTTCTTTTTTCTTTTTTTTATTTTTGAGACATGCTTTCTCTGTATAGCTTTACCTGTCCTGGAACTCACTGTGTAGACCAAACTACCCTCAGACTCACAGAGATCTTCCTGCCTATGTCTCCCAAGTGCTGGGATTAAAGGTTCACCAACACTGCCTGGTCCAGAGGCGACTCTTCAAGGTGTGTGGTGGGGAGGTGGGGGGAGGGGAAGCTAGAACACTCACTCAGGCATCTTGTGTTGGGTGTGGGATAGCAGAATAAAAGGTAAAAAATTCAGCCTTCAGTGGGCAGTGGTGGTGCACTCCTTTAATCTCAGCACTCGGGAGGCAGAGGCGGGCGGATTTCTGTGAGTTCGAGGCCAGCCTGGTCTACAAGAGCTAGTTCCAGGACAGGCTCCAAAGCTACAGAGAAACCCTGTCTTGAAAAGTCAAAAAAAAAATTCAGCCTTCAATTTTCTGAAAACAGCTGGCAGGAAACTGAAGGCAAGGTGAGGGGTTGTGAACCACTCCTTCTGGACTATGTGGCTGTAGGGCAGGGATTCCATCCTGCTGAGTTCCACTGAAACAAGTCCTTGGCCAGTGCTGGATGGACAATAATGTTTGCGCAGCTGCAGCAAAGAACTGCAAGTCGGGAAATTGTTCCCGGGGGCTGACAGTCTGGAGGAGATGGGATAGAGAGGCAAGACACTTACGCAAAGAAGGGTTTTGAAGTCCATTATCTGGAGAGCACTCATGAATGTCTTACTGAGGGCTGGGGATATATATATATATATATATATATGTACATATATATATATACATATACACACATATATATATAGTTAAGGCACATTGATGAGACCCTAGGTCTAGTCACTAGCATCACAGGCATAACTGTTTCTGAGTGATTGCTGTGTGTCTGCCAGTGCCCCCCATACTGACACAAGAAGAGGGAAAGTCTCTTAATCTTTTGGAAGCGTAAATATGAGTGCAAACTTTAATTTTTCCTTTGCCAGCTGTGTGACTTTAGGTAAATCAGCAACCCCTCTGAGACCATTTCCTCTCAAGTACCTACCTCCCTCTCAGGGTGTGAGGAGTAAGTGAGCTAATATGGGAAGAGTCACAGACAATGGCCGCTATGGCGGGGTGGGGGTGAGGAGTTATTGCCTGGGTGGGTCGGGGGCAGGATTTCCACTGAAAGCTTTTGTGTGTGTGATTCTTTTGAGACAGGGTCTCACTCTGTAGCCCAGGCTGTCTTGGAACTAGATAGCTCAAACCGGCCTGGAGCTCTGTGAGCCTCCTCACCTTCCTGAGCGTTCAGATTACAGTCATGGAACTGTCATCACATCTGTCTGGAAACTGGAAGACATCCCCTCTTCTGGGCTAGTTAGGACATCCCAGGTCTAGTTCCAATCCCATGATCACGATCTTTAAGGAGCTGGGTCGAGCTTATTCCTTCTCTGTTCTCATAGCCTGGGATGGGACAGGAGCCAGTTCCCAGAACTCGGCCCTGACCAGGTAGGTAATCTTGGCCTGCTTACCCCAGAATGAGGTGTCTGGACAGTGATCCCTGCCCTGCTAACGGCTCCCAAAGCCAGCCTTGCCCTCCTGCCTTCTTCCCTGTTGATCAATAGGGAGGCCAGAACAAACAATGGGGCAGTACAATTGGCTCAGAGCCCAGGAAGCTCTCCCTCCTGAGAAGCCAATGCAGTGTGCAGCAGGGCTGGGATGACTGATGCTCACATCCCTTCCTTTTCTTCTTTCTCTCCTGCGCCAACCTCCTTCCTCCATCTCCCTCACCCCCACCCCACCTGGAGTGCTCCTTGCAGATGCTCAGTGCCTTGGGCTTACATCGTATGGTAGCCACCTTCCTGAAAGCCCAGGGATAAATAAATCAATTCCCTGTTGAACATGCCTCAGGAAACTTGTTCTTTCAAGAAATAAAATGAAGATTCATTTCAAAGTTAAAAGTCTGCTGGTAAATGATTAACTGGTGACTTTTGGGCAGAGTTGTCTGGATAGAGAAAAGGGAGAAATTTGCTTTGTTTTTTTCGAGATAAGGTGTTACGTAGCTCAGACTGACTTTGAACCCTTTATGTAGCCAAGGTCACAGATGACCCTGACTCCCTGGGGGTTAGAACTAGACACTCTGGGAGTGTACCACCACGCTAGGCAGGAGTTTACTCTTTATTGTTCTGCCTCTCTATAGTGCTTAAATTTCAAGGACTAGGATGCAGCATTGTTGTATAGTGTTCTTTTTATCATGGGAGAGCTCTTGCGTTCGATTCCTAGCGCATACACACACAAAACAACAAATACTCAATAAATACCCCTCATCATTATGGAGGCTTTGATTTTTTTTAAAATGTCAACAGGGATTACCTGGTTTAGGATTGCAGGGTACTTTATCTTATTCTCAGTCTATGTTTAAGAGATCAAATAAATGCTATTTATATACAGATAGGGTCTCATTATTTAGCCCAGGTTGGCCTCAAGCTCACAAAGATTTCCAGTCATTGCCTCTGGAGTGCTGGGATTAAAGGTATGCATCACCATGCTTGGCTCAATAAATGTATGAATATGAATTTAAAATGAATGGAATAAAATGTCTTGATGTGGTGAACATTGGAGAGGCTAAGGCAGAATTGCTGTATACACGAGGACAACCAAACCTATATTGTGAATTCTAGGCCAGCCTGGACTACGTTTTAAGACCCTGTTTCAATAAATCACAACTGAGGGCTAGCCTAGGAGATGAGTCAGCCTGTTAAGTCATTTGCCACCAAGCCTGGTGACCTGTTTGATCCCAGGCCCCACGTGGTAGAAGGAGAGAACCAACTCCCACAGGCTGTCCTCTGACCTCCACATGTTCATTCACACTAAATAAATAATTTAAAGAATGACTGGCTCTTGAGTTTTGTTTTTTGAGTTGTGTTTTGACCTGATCCTTACGGTGTATCTTTGGTGTCCTGGGACTCACTATGTAGCCACTAGTGAGTGCTGGGAAAGGAGTAGATTTGATTCTTTTCTTTGAAAGGTTGAGCCTATGACAGACAGTATGCTCGTGATATCTGGTGAGGTTGAGTCACTAGATGAGAGAGAGAGAGAGAGAGAGAGAGAGAGAGAGAGAGAGAGAAGCATGTTAGTGGCCAATTTTCTGCTTTATCTGTCTTTACATGTCCATACCTGTCTGAATTTCTACCTACATTTCTCCCCCTTGGCGTGTCCATTATGTATGTGTCTGTTGTCTGTCATTCCCTGCGGTTGGCCCCCTCCCCCCACCGCCTGTCCCCTGTGTGGTAACTGGACCTGGACACAGCCCCCAGGGCTGGCAGGAGACTTGACTGATATTTTTAGCCTGTAAACATGTTTGCCATTTCAGAGGACAGGGCAGGGCTGGTCTCAGCACCAGCCCACTCATGGTCTTTGAGCGAAGGCGCTCCTACCTCAGGCCAAGGTCTCAGTTCTCCAGCCTTAGGTCTCTTGGGGCATTTGGAAAGGAAGGGAAACTAGAGTGGGCAGGTGGGTAGCCACTTGCCAGGGAGGGTAGAACTCGTGAGGAAGAAGAAAAAGGGAGGTGTGTGGGGAGGATGTAGCCAGAAGGTCCCTGCAACCCCATCATTAAACATTTAATAAAATCCACATCTAGTTAGAAGTGGCTGTGGGAAATGGCTGTAAATTGGGGAGCTGAACAATTTGCAAATGGGAATATGGGGGAGGGGCTGAGAGGTAGGAGAAAGACTGGAGAGGCAAAGAAAAAGTTGGATCTTGGGTTCTTCCAGGTTAGTGGGGCAAGGTGGCTCATTCCTTTGATTCCAGGGAGGCAGAGACAGACGAATCTGCGAGGTTACCCTGGTCTAGTCAGTTCCAGGACAGCCAACGCTTCATTATCTGCTGCCCTCCAAACAAAACAACAAAAACTCCAAAGGGCACGAAGACATGAGTCTACAAAAGAGGTTGAGCAGCCCCATGTCTCGTCCCAGGGCTACAAGCCGGACTCTGGTGGCGCTGCAGCTGCTGAATAGCACCGTGGGTGCATAGGTGACCCCATTCCTAGGGGTTGGAGTTTGAGAGTCAGCATGTTTTGTAGGAGCTTCGAGACAGTCTGAAGGTGAGAAATGGGCGCGGCTGCAAGAAACTTGGGAACCAAGACAGGAGGCTGGGGCCTGGGACTGGTGTCTAAGCTTGAGAGAAAGCTCAAAGGTCTGTGTTAAGGCTGGAGGTCGAGGCTGAATCATCTGAGCTTCTTGGCTCTTCCTGCAGAATGGGTTGACGCTGGATTCCAACTGTGAGGGTTGGAGTGAGTCCCTGCTCCTGCGTGCTTCCAGGAATTTCTTGCCGGTGGAGACACACACTGCTCAAACTGGGGTGGGAAGATCCCAACCCGGGACAGGAGCAATAGATGGGATAGGGGAAGGGAAAAGGCGATGCCTCTTCGTCCCTCGCCAGTCTCCCCTCACCAGCCCACTCCCGGGTGGCTTCAGCATTGGTCTCGCTCTCGGGTCCCAGCCCTGCTCGGGCCCCGCCCGGCCCCGCCCTCTCCCCACAGCTCGGGGCAGACCCGCCCGAGTTACAAGAGCCGCCTCCGCGCGCGGGGGCCCGGCCACTTGGAGCAGCTCTGCCGCGGGGACTGCACTGTCCGCCCTGCCAGACCCGCCCCGACTGGGGTTCGCCGTCACCAGCAGTCACAGCACTGCGACCTCGGGCCCTACGTCGGCTATGGCTGCGTCCTGGGACTAAGTCCGCAGGTAGGGAAGCAAAACGCAGGCTGGTGCAGTCTGGGACTAGGACACCGGTGGCCTGGGAAGGGAGGGACTCGGGCGAGGTGTATTTGCGGTAGTGTCACTCGAGGGTTCCAACAGTTCAGAGCAAACCTGGCCGCCTGTGACTGCCGGGACAGGCGACGGGTCGCACTTCGGGAGTGGAATAGTCTCCCTGGAGTTGGGGCACAAGTCGGGCTAAGTTAGAAAATCCCTTTGATAGATGCTTTGCTGCGCTTTATATTTCTTCCGCGGGTGGACTGTCGTTCCAACTGCACTGCAGGGCTCAGCGTTCCTGGCCTGGTGGCCCCTGTCCCACCCCTCCACTTTGGGGCGGTGGCTCAGAGCGCTGCTGAGTTCCTATTCCATGTTTACTGGAAAAGTTTTCCGAGATCCCCGTGGCAATTCTCCCGCCCCTTTGGCGCCCCGACACCGCGTGTCCCTCTGCTGTCCTTCGCGGTTCTCCACACCTCGGCCCCGAACTTCGCGTCCGGAGTCCCCTCAGCCCCACCCTGCTCCGTACCATTAGCCTCTCCCTTTCTGGTTCCTAGCGGCGCCTTCGGCAGCTGCCCCGCCCTAGTCTTGCCCCTCCGTGTTCCCAGATCCTGAAGACTCCCTTCTTCCTCCTGGGCGTCGGAGCCTGGAAGTTTGCAGCACGCCTCCCTGCGGGATGGGTGGGAGTGGGGGTGGGGGACATAATTAGGGAGATTCCTGCGCTGGGGTGGGCGGGGAGGGGGGCTGTGTAAGCGACTCAGTCCCCAGAACCTCCCTTGCTCCTTCTAGAGGCGGTGCTTTCTCCCCACCCCACCCCACTCCCAAACTCGTCCGGGCGGGATGGCCCCCGCCCCAGCGCCTGGCTGGACGCCAGCAGCCTGAGGAATGTAGTGGTTGGAGCCGGTGACTAATTCAAACCAGAATTCGGGGGGGGGGGGGGGGGGAGGGGCAAAGGGGAGGGAGGGAGAAAGGGGCAGTGAGTAGGCGGTGGGGGCCGGAGCGCTGGGCGTAGGTGAAGAACTTCATTGCTCACTCTGGAACCCTCCACTTTTGCAGTGTGGGCCAGCGGAGAGGGCGGTGGGGGGGGGGGGCGAAATCCTGCTGTGGAGTTGGAAAGGCAGCGTGCTTAGGGTGTGTGCAGAAAGCTGGGTTATGTAAGGCTTTCCCATGCAGGGAGGGGATGTGCAGTGTGCAAGGGCCTGGGCTCTTCTGGCCGAGAGCCCCTTGCAGTGTCAGGGCGCGTTTGTGGGGACGCAGAAACTTGGTGGTGCTGCAGGTTTAGCTGTACTTGGTGGTGAGCATTGGAAGACTTTTGGCGGGGACCCGGGGATATCCCACAATTCAATCTGAGCCCTGACAAGTAGTGTTACCGATGTATGTGTGTTTGTGTGTTGTGCGTGCTTGCCTGCGCACTCTCACTTCTGCACAATGTGAGCACAGAATATTGTGCAAATGGTGCCTGCGTTGGCACCCTGGTTTGGCAGGGTGTGGTCCTGGCCTGTCTCTGAGGCCACGAGGTGCTCCTGGAGTGCTTGTATTCTCAGTGTTCCTGTTCTGGGGAGGGGATTTGTAGAAAAGCTTCCCCAGGTAGTTGAGGTCCTTGGAGAGTGACCCAGAATTCCCTGGAAGAAAAGGATCCAGAGGTCTACGCCCGCCCCCAGAACACTGCTAGACTCCCAATAAGTATTTTTGAAACAGTCTCCCATTAAAATTTAGCCTCAATGGTGGGGACCATCTCCACTGCACGCCTTTTCTCACAGGACCTCTCGGTTCAGCTGGGTGCTGTCCTCATAGGTGTGTGTGTGGGGGGGGGGCAGGAAGATGCCTTGGGAAACGTTTAAGGGTCTCTGAGTAGAATTGCTTTGGTGTGCCCCATGAGGGAAGTCCCTGAGGTAGGGTAGGCCCCTTTTCCTAAGCTGAATGAACCATTAGCTTCCTTCTCTCACCTTGAGAAACTATAGGCTAGCTTTGCATCTGGGATGTCGAGTGTGCAGACTGTGAGGTAGAAGGGAACCCCTCATTTAAGGGCACTTCCTTGCTCCAAGCAAGGGAGTGTGGGAAAGGAACTGGAAGCATGGCGGTTGAGCTAGTAAAGGGCCCTGGGTGCTGATAGGGCTGACATCTGGAAGATATCTGAACTCCTTTCTGAGTCTCTTGTCCTTAAGAGGTTATGCAAAGGAACCTTGCTAAGAGAAGCAGGACATTCAGAAAGCTGTGTGAGTTATTCAAGGCTTAGTGTTGATAATATGGAGGTCCGCGGTAATGCAAAGGGCTGAGGAGAAGCCAGGCATGGTCCAGGAAAGGACAGGAGAGAGACTGAACCAAGGAGCTCTGTGGAAGAAGAGTAGCATTAGTCAGGGTAGGGAATGAGCTGTGGAGCCCCAGGTCATTTCAGACGCAGGGAGGCTCTGCTTAGAGGTCCAGAGCGCCACTACTCCTGACTCCTCTGCTCCACTTGGAACTGTCTGGCGGGTTCTGGCCGAACACAGCACTCTGAGCCTGAGGAGCTGGTTTGAGGAGTTGGGGTAAAGCTGTGGGGGTGGAGGAGTGTGTGGGGCATTGGGGTGTGGTCACTGCCTTTTTCAGAACTTGGGAACTGCCTGGAGACAGACAAGGAGAGGCAGACTGGGAGAGCTAGTCTGACTTCTGAAGGGCTCTTTGCCTGGGCGCCCCCAAGATTGTCTCCTTAGGGCTGGCCTGACCATGTGCTTGTAGTCACTCAGGTTAGAGAAAGGGAGGTGGCTGTCAATTTAGAATGTGCATTACAGGCCGCCGCAGTGGTGAGTGCCTAGGGCTTTCTGCTCTCTTTGCCCACTTCAGGCTTCAGCCAGGCTCTCAGGAGCTTGCCGTTCCCTGGATTTGACCCCCGGCTGCTTTTCGAGGTCTTCATAGCATCACCCATACCTGAGTTTGTCCAAAAAGTGTCCGCGTGGGGCGTGGTACTACAGACTGCTTCTGCGAAATGTCTGTGTGCGCTTTGATGACGCTCCCCTTTCTCTCTCTGGGCCCCGGTTTTCATTGGGGCGAAGGCTCAAATAATTGGTCTTGCGGCTGTCACTGTTTGCATTGCGACGGGGGTCATGGTGCCACTGTGGTCTTGAGTCTCTGTGTTTGTGTTACTGCCCGTGAGAGGGTGTCCTGTTGGCTGTTCATGGGGCACTCATGCTGTGCTAGGCCTGGATGTGTCACCTCTGTTGGCCTGGGACTTGGAGGGCAGAGGCAATGACTGCTCTAGAGTGGAAGCGCCTTGTCAGTGTACAGAGACTGCAGTTAAGGAACGAAGTAAGCTCCTTTGTCCCGTGTGGGCCCAGGCCTTGAAGTTTGTGTCCCGAGGCCTTCAAGAAGGATAGGGCAGCCTTGGGAGTAGAGTCCCCACAGATGGTGGTTGAGCAGCAATGCATTGCACACAGCCTGTCAGGGAGCGGCATCCTGCCTGATCCCTGGGGGCTGGAACGGAGGTTCTGGGGGAAGGGGAAGTGCCTGGAGCTGATCCTGGCTACGTGTCCTGGCTCGGCTGTGTGTGTGTGTGTGTGTGTGTGTGTGTATGTGTGTGTGTGTAGCCACCGCCTTTTGAAGACCTGGCCCTGAGTCTTTTCACTACTTGGCCTGACCACTGGGGGGCGAACATGCAGCACCTCCCAGAGAACTGGGTGGGGCCCAGGGTATATTCCAAATTGTAATCTACCCCCGAGGCAACTCAAGATACTTCTCCCCTTGGCTCCTCAACTGTAGGACATTGCCCTAAGAGTTAGTGTCTTAATCCCAGCTGCTCTGGCAAAGGCCAAATCTTCCTTGACATTTTGGCCAGATAAGGAACTTCCACCTGGATAATGTGATGCTGTCCCTATCTCTGGCACTGGGAGAGGTGGAGAGTCCCTCCTGGTCTCCTGGATAGGGGAAGGAGAGGGACTATCCCTGCTGGAAGTGAGAATTTAGACTTTCAGGCTTTGTGGCTTGTTCCAAGAGTTGGTGGTGGGGAACGTCTGTGATCGGAGTAGAGAGAAGTGGAGGTGGAAATCAAGAAGCAGTCGTGGGGCCGGGGCGAGATGGTGCACGTCTGCCTTTTAATCCTAGTGCTCGGGAGGCAGAGGTAGGCAGGTCTCTGTGAGTGTGAGGCCAGCCTGGGCTACAAAGCGAGTGCCAGGACAGCTAGGGTCGATACACAGAGAAACCCTGTCTCGAAAAACAAACACACAAACAATGGAAAAGAAGGAGGAGGAGGAGGAAGAAGAAGAAGCAGAATCATGGGACTGGTTATGACTGCTTTAGAGGTCAATGTGCACAAAGCCCGAGCATGATGAGGAGAAGGAGGTTAGACTGGGGAGGCTAAGAAAGCTTCCTCCTGGTAGGAGCTGTGGGCTGGGTCAGCTTCACTTTCCTCTTGTGTCAGGTAGCATGGCCTAGCCTTGGCAGGCGCACACACAGAAAGGGAGGTGCACACCCAGGAACCCAGCTTTACTAGGAGAACAGGTGACGGGTATCTGCTGAGAGCCAGTAAATCTCACCACCGAGGACTGCCTGAGCTGGGAAGGGTGGGTGATGAGGCTGACAAGGGTCTCTGTGTGCCCTGCATGTGTGTGTCCTCTTAGGTGTTCCGCTGAAGATCCTTCCAATATCCAGGTCGTCTGGGTCTTGTTGGTCTAATTCTCTTTGATTGCTTCCTCCCGAAAGTTGACGGTGCCCCCGTTGTGTCTAGCTAAGTAGCCTTGTTTGCCTGAACTTAGATATTCCTGCCTAAGCCTCCTGAGGATTATAGGTGCCATGGGACACAAGGTCCATCCCTGTAAAGTTTTTTGTGTTTGTTTATTTTGGCAGGATCTCATTATGTAGGCAAGGCTATCCTTGAACTCTCTATGTAGCCCAGGACGGGTTGGAACTTGCAGTGATCCTCCTGGCTTAGTGCTTAAGTGCTGAGATTACAAGTGTGCACCATGATGCCCGTCTCTGCTAAACGTTTGCTTTTCTTGTTTTGTTATAAATGTGTCGTTGTGTAC